GTGATACAAAGGGGAAAAAAGGAAGGAGAAAAGGGAAGAAAGCGAAGGGAGGGAAGTCCTCTGCAGAGCAGCCTGGGGAGGGGTCTGGGGCCTGGCCTAGGCCCAGCCACTTCCTGAGGAGACCAGGTGGCGGTCTCCCAGGCCTGCAGGCCTCAAGGCAGCCCAGTCCTCCTCTGTAGTCCCTACGCGTTGCTCTGGTGGGGACATCCCTGGCTATGCTCTCCATGTAGATATTCCTTTTAGCCTCTACCTCAGCAGAAATCTGAAGATCAGGCCAATTTCGTGGTCTCTCAGACGTCTGTAAACAGGAGGCCTTGGCTCCTCGGGAGACAGGGAGCCTCTCGCTGTACTTCCTTCTCTTGGCTCCAAAGACATAGAATGGTTGCTATGGGGATTCCTTCATTTGTAGAGTAAGTTTTCAGAAAAAAATAGTGACTCACAAGTCCTTTAAGGAGGAACAGAGTCAATCCTTGGGGACGATATGATCTAATAGGGTTTAAAAAAGGAACCGTGGCGGGCTGCAGTTGGCAGGCTTTTCTTCTTTTCCTCTTTGATCCTCATGGGTGGACGAAGCCCACCAGTGGCTCAGGTACTCTGGCACCACCATTTGCTTCTTTGTGACATCTGAGGACAGATGTTAAAAATAATTTGGAAATGGCCAACTAGGACCCAGCACACTGGCTCACTTTGAGAGCCTGCAATCGGAGAACTACTTGAACCCAGGAGTTCGAGACCAGCCTGAGTAACATAATGAGACCTTGTTTCCACAAATAATTAAAACAAAAAAACTAGTTAGGTGTGGTGGTGTATGCCTCTAGTCCCAGCTACTCAGGAGGTTGAGGCTGTAGGATGACTTGAGCCCAGGCGGTGGAGGCTGCAGTAAGCCATGGTTGTGCCACCATGAAAAGAAAAGAAAAGAAAAGAAAAGAAAAGAAGGAAGGAAAAAGAAAGAAAGAGGAAGGAAGGAAGGAAGGAAGGAAGGAAGGAAAAGGAATTCCTAGCTAGGCTAACGGGGAGAGTTACTGTCAGTTTCCACAAGGGTCTTCGTGGTCACCTCTGAGCCTCGCTGGCTGGGTGAAGTTATTAGCCCAAGGGTGCCACAGGGCTTTTGCACAGTCATCTGCATTATGTCTGGCCAGGCAGAGGGCTTTCCCTGCACTGATTCTCCTGGAAGCTTGGGGTTCGAAGCACAGACTAGAAAGTAAGGTACACAGAGGGGAGGGACTGAACCAGGTCCCACTGCATGTGAGTACATACAAAATACTGCTTTTCCTGCACAGATTTTCCTGGAAGCCTGGGGTTAGCAGCATAGACTGGAAACTAAGGTACACAAAGGGGAGGGACTGAACCAGGTCCCCTTATATGTGAGTACATACAATTACTTAGGCTAGGAAGCCAGGCCTTCTAAGCAGCTAGGGCCAACAGAGCAGGAGCCAGGAGGAATGATTTTATGAACAAACTTATTTTCCAACATCAGGAAAAAAGAAAGTTGGCTGTTGGGAGTGATAAGGAGAAAGAATGATGAGGAGCTCAAATCAGGTGGACCCCTGATTAAGATGATCCTTCTTTTCTTCAGAAAAGAGTACCACACTGGCTGTCAGCTGTGTGACCTTGAGGAAGTCACTCTCCCTCTCAACGTTCTCATCTGCCAGGTGAAAGGGCTGGGCTTGAATGAGCTTGGTTCCCTTCCCACAATGATGCTTGTGTACTGCACCTGTGCTAGGAATACTAGTAAGCGGGTCTCCCTGCTAAAATCAGTGTTCCAGGATCCCGCATGGCCCACAGCACCAAGCCCAGCCTTCTCAGCTTTGAGCTGAAGGCTCTGGGTAACCTGATCCCAGCCCATCGGTCCTGTCTTAATCTCCCACTCACCATTTCCTGTGGATTACTTATTGTTCTATCCTCCCAGCCTCCATGGCCTTGTTCGCACCTGCTACCAGCAAAGCACACCCCTCCTGCCCCAGTGCCCTGGCCTGAAGATGTCCTGTTAGTCTTTCAGCTGTCAATGAAGATGGCCCCCTTTTCAAGAATCCTTCCTGGAATCCTGAGTTTGGGGGTCCTGATCTTCCCACTCCCGTATCCATAGTCACTGCCTTCACCTGAATGCAATTGCAATTCTCTAGCCCTTCAATTCAACAAATATTCCGGAATGATTATTAGCATGTGCTGTGACAATGACAAATTCCGATGCAGGAAGACATGAATCAAATGATCATGTTCATCCATGCATGATTAGAAACAGGGAAGGGTAAAGAAGGAAGAGAAAATGGCTTCCTGAGAGCTTGCCTGGGGTCTGGAAGGATGAACACGGAGCTGGGGGGCATGGAAGGGAGCCAAGAGAGGTGAATGGGCTGGGTTGGCCTCTTGAGGCTGGGAGAGGTAGATGGTGTGTCTTGATCAGAGGAACCATCTGGGAATCCTTTGATGGTTTTAAAAAGGGGAGTAACAGATCCAATTTTTATTTCAGAGCAATCATGCTGGCTGTTCGTGGAGAATGGCCTGGAGCACTGGGTCTCCGCCCCAGCTGCCTGGGAGAAACTGTGTGGAAGGAGCCATATCCCCTGGCCTCCCCTCCAGACTCCAGACATCCCCAGTCACCTGGCTGGGAGAGAGGCAGAAGAGAACCAGGGGTGCACCTGGGGTCCCTGCAGGGGTCCAGCCGGGAGATGGGGGCAACTTGGACAGGGATGGTGGCAGAGGGATTGGGCCCGGGGGCATTTGGGAGATGAAAAGGGCAAGGCTTGGCCATGAATTCCCATGAGATGAAAGAGAAGGAATTGTCAGGATTGAGCCCCAAGTTTCTAGCTCATGCAAATAAATAGAAAGGGGGCATCCACTGAGCTTGAGAGCATGGGGAAGGGGTGTTGGAGACTCTTCTGGGAACCCCTGCAGACTCCTGTAACCCCTTTGAGTTCTCGCAGGCAGTGGCTGCGGTGGCGGAGGGAGCAGGCCTTGGCAGGGTACCCGCCCGCCACCAGGCACCCTCCATCCTAGCAGCCCTTGGGGAGACACACTGTGGTCCAGAGGAAGGGTACGGAGAGGCAGAGGAAGCCAACCAGTGTTCTTGGACAGCCCACCATGTGGTCAAAGGACCAGACAGCTTGTTTGGAAGCGTCTCTGAGGCACAAAGTGTCAGGACTCTGCTCCCTGAGCCCTCCCAGCAGGAAAATGAAAACTTCGCAATGGGCTCCCAGGGAGGCGGGGCTGGAGGTGCCTTCCCTTTAGGAGAGGCCTGCAGAGCAATTCCTGCCGCAGGGGTTGCTGAGCAGTCAGAACATCTGCCCACGTTGATGTCTTCCAGCCACCTGATTCGGTGGCTTGGGGCCTTTGGGTTGGGGGAGTGGGATCTTAGGCCTGTTTTTTGGGGTAATAAATTTTGTGACCTTGGAGGAGCCACTTATCTCACAGATCCTGGGATGGGCAGGAGGAGGAGTGAGACCCGGCCTGCCCTCTCCCTAGAGGCTCACCAGCTCTCTGGAGACAGACACGTCCTGGGCGAAGAACAAATCCCACTCAGCCAGGCAGTTTCCTGGAGGAGGAGGAGGGAGAGGAAGAAGGCAGGAAGAGGAGGGCAGGGTGCAGAGGGGGAGAAAGGAAGGAGGGGAGGAGGAGGTGAAGAGAAAAGGGAGGAGGAGGAAGGAAGAGGAGAAAACCTGTTTTCTGTCTTTAACTGTCCTGGGGGCTCTGTGCTCCTCCTCAGTCAGAACTCGCCCCCTCAGGTCCCCCCCACCACCCACCTCAGGTCCCTCCCCACTTCCTGTCCCTCCCCCACTCATATCCCTCTCCCCTTGTGTCCCTCCCCCCATTGTGTCCCTCCTCCCCTGTGTCCCTCCCCCTCTCAGGTCCCTCCAGTCCTCATGTCTCTCTGCATCTGTCCCTCCTCCCCTTGTGTCCCTCCCCCCATTGTGTCCCTCCTCCCCTTGTGTCCCTCCCCCTCTCAGGTCCCTCCAGTCCTCATGTCTCTCTGCATCTCAGGTCCCTCCCCGCCTCGTGTCTTCCTCCCCCTCAGGTCCCTCCCAACCTCCTATCCCTCCCCACCTTGTGTTCCCCCACCACTGTGTCTCTCGCCCCCTCATGTCCCTTCCCCCTCAGGTCCCTTCCCCTCTCAGGTCCCTCCTGCCCTCGTGTCCCTCCCCTTCTCAGGTCGCTCCCCCTTCAGGTCCCTCCCCTGCTCTTGTCCTTCCCCTCCTCAGGTCCCTCCTCCCCTCACATCCCTCTGTCTTCATTTACGGGCAGGAGAAATTTCAAAGTGTGTTTGTACCACAATTACTTTAAAACTCTGAAGTTGACCTTTAAGGGTTTGTGTATGTTTTAATTTTACTTTTACATGATAACCTGCAATAACTACACAAATGCATGCATTTTTGTGCTTATTTGTAAGTGCTTTCTTTAAAACTGCTTTTTTCTTACATCCTTTCAGTCCCTTTCCCTATGCCTGGAGCCTGGGTACCAGCTATTGAAAACTACTTTTCTCCTTATTCATTCTAACATATTCACACATAAAGGTTGTCATTCCTTTTTGTCACTATTTTACAAAAATTGGATCATACCATATACAATTATCTGCTATTTGTTTTGCTCATCTAACAATAAATACACTGTGAAAATCCCTTCAGATGAGTAGATATCAATCTTATTCATTCATTTATTTATTTATTTATTTTATTTTTTTTTTTTGAGACAGGGTCTCACTCTCTTGCCCAGGTTGGAGTGCAGTGGTACAGTCACAGCTCACTGCAGCCTGGCCTCCAAGACTCAATCGATCCTTTCACCTCAGCCTCTCGAGTAGATGGGACTACAGGCATGCACCACTGAACCTGGCTAATTTTCGTATTTTTTGTGGAGATGGGGTTTCGACGTGTTGCCTAGGCTGGTCTTAAACTCCGAAGCTCAAGAGATCCACCTGCCTCGGCCTCCAAAAGTGCTGGGATTACAGGCCTGGGCCACCGTGCCCCGCCTCTTACTCATTTTTTCTTTCTTTCTTTCTTTTTTCTTTTTTGTTTTTCAGGTTGCAGGGTTTTACTTCAGCAACACAGCGACAGTCAAGCAGAGCCACACAGCAGGGGCAGCTACAGCTGCCTCAGGAGGCGGCAGCAGCGGCCGCTTTTGCAGCTGCTCTCTCTCCCAGCATCCTCTGCTTCTGTTTGGCCCGGCACTTCCCGGTAGAACAGTGGGCCCCCAGGGCCTGTTAGCGGTCCTGGTAGGCCGGGGCCACCTGGGTGAACTGCTGCACTTCCTTGGCCCGGTTCTGCCTGTTGTTCTCTCCTTCGCTCTACTGACAGGCCTTGAGCCCCTCCTGGATAATACTGACGATTTCTTGATCGACTTTGTAGTCCCTCCTCCGCTGCATTCGGCTTCATATATGCACAAGATGTCCTCCTTGCACTCGGTGATGTCCGGCACGCGGCGGTACTGCCGGTGGTAGTAGTAATACCTGTTCTTTGCGTGCTGCCACTCTGGGACCTCTCACGAGGGTCACGGGTCGGTCCACGAGGAGGTTGAAGGCCTTCGTCAGGTAGACGACAGTGCTGGCGTGTGGCGCGGGGGCGCGGGGTCCACATCCTTGTCTCCGCGTGGCTGCAGTGAGCGCGGACTCCGCTCCGGGACGCGCTGCCCTGGCCTCCGCCTCGGTCCGGGTCCCTACTCATTCTTTTTAATGGTTGTGTAATATTACATGGTGTGAACTTAATAAAGGACCCCTACGCAGCCAAGAGATTCTTTTTCCCCCAATGAGAAAACAGATTTTTTTTTTTAATGTTTGAGATTTTAGTGAATTCTTTTCATACGGCAAGGAGCTGAACTACCTGTATTGTTCAGAAGCCAAGTTCAGCAGTCTTGTATGTGGGATGTCTGTAAAGAATAAGAAATGGCGCGGGCGCGGTGGCTCACGCCTGTAATCCCAGCACTTTGGGAGGCCGAGGTGGGCGAATCACGAGGTCAGGAGTTCGAGACCAGCCTGGCCAACATGGCGAAACCCCGTCTCTACTAAACATACAAAAACTATCCGTGGGTGCCTGTAATCCCAGCTACTTGGGAGGCTGAGGCAGGAGAATCGCTTGAACCCGGGAGGTGGAGGCTACAGTGAGCCAAGATCGAGCCACTGCACTCCAGCCTGGTGACAGAGGAAGACTCCCTCCCCCCCCCCAAAAAAAAAAGGAATAAGAAAGGGACTGTGCCCCAAGGAGTCTGCGCTCTTACCAGGAGGCAGAGCCACACGTGGTCATGAGACAACAGCCTCTGGCAGCTGCACGGAGGAGAGCTCCACGGAGCCTGCGGGAGGGAGGGCTTGAGACTGGCCCGCTGGGAGGGTACAGCTCTGGCAGGAAGCCTGGAAGGGCAGGTGTGGAGTCAGACGTGATCTGATGTTCTGTGTGGCCAAGACAGAAAGTCAGGCAGGAAAAACCCAGTTACTCAGAAGATTGGTTGAGCAGCCACCTCCCTCCCACTGACCTCCCCCTAGGAATCTCTATAGTCTTAGCTTATTTTCAGCTTTTAGTTTCCTCTCGTCGGAGGTTGGGCCCCTGGTCTCTTGATTTTCTAACTGCAGAAGGGATGAAAGTCTGAGATTTCAATCAAAAGCTTAAGAAAATAATAATCCTTGGTTGCCCTAATTCTTTCCTGAAAATACCTCACACTAACAGAAATTGCCTTTAAGCCCCTTTTCTTTTCTTTCATGCTTTAAATTTCTTTCTTAATTAAAAAGAGTTGTTTACTTGATGTGGGCTCCAACATGCTTATTTATTTTAACTTATCTTGTTTCTTTTTCCTTATCTTCATGACTTGATAACTCTGTAACTCTCTCTTCTTGTGTCTTAAAATGTTGGTTGTCTCTGTCACTGACATGACCTAATAAGGAACTTCATAATCAGCCCTTTTCTATTCTCACAGAATAGAAGTTGTGTCAATAACAAATGGAAATCACTGAGCTCCAGAATTCAACTGCCCTAAACTGGCTGCTTGCCCCTATCAGAGATTTTAGAATGTTTTCCCCTTAAGATGAATTTCAGTTTTACTCAATCCTACCAATGTTTGATGACAATACTCATAGAAAACTAGTGATAAATTAATGTCTGCTTTTCAAAGTACCTGGTTGAGTTCACTGTGTAAAAATAATAATAATAATAAAGGCAGCCAAACTGATGATTGGCAGAATTTTTTCCCGTCACTTAAGGCGATTGAGTTGCAGTACCTAGTCTGAGAATGCCTCAGAGACACACCACCCAGGGACTTGGATCCTTGATCTCAGAAAGATTGTGATCGAATTAAGTCTGACTCAACAAATAAGGTCACGGAAAGAAGTGCTGGCATTAAATTTACCGTTAACACCAGGGTCAATTTACTAAACAGTCATCTGCATGTGGTTCCACAAGACCTCTGGGTAAATTCCAGAAACTGCCTGGGAGGAAGATAGCTTGCGCATGAAGTCACTGAATCCTGGTCAGTGTGACTCTTGGTGATCATCTCTCAGTACACCAAAAAGCGTTTCCAAAGACAGGACGCCACTGTGGGGTGGAAAGCCTTTGGAAGCTATGGAAGGTGACTTCTTATGTTAAGTCTAGAAACGGGATGGCAGGAGGACAAGAAACTGAGACTCTGGTGCCGGGATCCTGGAGTCCTAGTTCCACCACAGATGTTAACTGGGCTCAGCTATTCAGGTCACTGACTGGTTCATCTTAGAGTTGTTTCTAGACTAGATATTTATTGCCCTGCATTACAAAGATGGGAAAGTAAGAGTTCTGCCCATCAGCCAGTTGTCAGGCATAAATGGTGTCTTTCCCTTGCTTCCTGCACCACAGTTTGCTTATCTGTCAGATGGAAACACTAATTACTTACTTACCTACTCCTCACCTCCAGGGCTGTTCACATGAATAAGAAGAGAGTATGGATATGAATTTGCCTTACAAAGGGAAAAGTTCCACACAAATAGAAAACACTAGCGGAAATAATTTCTAGATTCTTCCTGCTGAAGCTTTTCAACTATTTCCAAAACACATCATTGCTGAGCCTGTGCAAGTTCAAATGGTAAAACCCGAAGAGTCAGTGGCATTGCCTCTTCTCTAGCCAGAGCCTTGGGGGCCGTCAGCCTGCACCTGCCTGTTTGTTCTGCCATTGCCTCATTCGCTCTGACTTAGACACCGGGGAAGCCAGGACCACAGAGGCACTTCTCAGCTTCCTCCTGAAACAGCCCTCCTCAGCTTCTCAGCTGTGTCTCCCGGGTCTTCTCACAGAATTCTTGGCCAGGAATCCACCTTCCTTAAAGCAAATCAGGTCTCCCGATTTCCTAGAGCCAGAATAGCATAGGGGGCAGCTGTGGGGCTTGGAGCCAGACAGACCCTTACTAATTATCCATGGATCTTGCTGAGCCTTGGTTTCTCATCTGTAAAATGCGGGTAATGAAGCTACTTTCCTGGGCATCTATGAGTTTGAAATAAAAGAATACGGGGGCCGGGTGCAGTGGCTCACGCCTGTAATCCCAGCACTTTGGGAGACTGAGGCAGATGGATCACCTGAGGTCAGGAGTTCGAGACCAGCCTGGCCAACATAGTGAAACCCTGTCTCTACTAAAAATACAAAAATTAGCCAAGTGTGTTAGAGGGTGCCTGTAAACCCAGCTACCCGGGAGGCTGGGTCAGGAGAATCACTTGAATACAGGAGGTGGAGGTTGCAGTGAGCTGAGATCACACCACTGCACTTCAGCCTCGTTGACACAGCAAGACTCCATCTCAAAAAAAACAAAGAAGAGTATGGGTGAAAGGGCTGGGTGTGTCACGGAAGTTGAATGTGTGTCCTTTTCCTTTTTCCCTTGTTCCTTTCCTGTACAGCTGCCCACCAGGCACTGTCTCCTTTCTCCTGGGAAGGCGCTGCATTGTTTCCCTGCAAAGGAGGTCCAGAAAGCAGACCTGGCCCCATGTCTGTGCATCTGCTCGGAGAAGGCCTCCTGAGGAGCACACCGACACCCTCCCCTTCCATATTGGCCTTCTCTGCACCATTTCAGGTTCTTGCCTCTTTGGAATTGTGTGTATGTGGAGGGAACATCTGGAGGTGTCCCTTAATTTTTCATGTTACATCTGGACGTGTCACATAGCCACAACCGTAACTGTACATGGAGAATCATGTCATGTGTGCTGTGGGCAAGACAAGAGGTGGCTTTGTGTGCTCTGCTCTTCTGCCAGCGTGGCCCAATGCAGGTACTGTGTGACCCCGGAGGAAAGAGTCATTCAGAGGGCCTGAAGAAGGGAGGAGTCGGTGGCTTGCAAGGTGCACTCCCACTTCCTGCGGTTTTCACAGGCAATTACATGATAAGGACTGGAGATGAAATGAAGCAAAATCTTCTGGGGTCACTTGAGCTATTTCTTTTGAGTACAGGTCTCTGGGAGAGCATGGCCTGTCAGCCACACCCGTTTCACACCTGTTGGCAGCTCCATTCTGCAGGGGAGCAAGTGTCCAGTCCTGGGAGCTCTGGCTGCAGGGATGCTAGGAATGTCCACCCTGTCCTGGGACCTGCCTTTGCCTCTGCCCCTCCACTGCCTCTCCATCCCACTTCCTCCTCTTTATTTTTGTCTGTCCCTATGGCTGTCAGTGGGGTCTTGAGTCACCTACGTCATCATATCAGGAACATTGTGTGTTCCAAAGTGTGCTTGGTGGAACACTTGTTCCTTGAAACAGTGCTTTGTAAAATTGATCCTGAGGCTAGCAGCTGGGAATGCCGCATCCTCTATCTCCTTCTTGTGGGCGTATGATTCAGATTCTCGATTAACCCTGAAGAATCCCATAATAAATGGTTTGCTTTTGCTTCATAGTTTTGCCCAAACATTTTTGATCATGGATCCTTTTGTATGAATTCCCAAGAAACACTTATTAGCAGGATTTGGTGAATCACATTCTGGGAAAAGCAGGCATGAACAACGTATTATTTGTAGGAATGCTATGAAGTCAAACTCACCAGTGAGAAATCCGGCATCAGAGGGCTGTGGAAAATGTGTGTGCCTTTTTTTTTTTTTTTTTTTAATAAAAATATCACATTGGTGCAGATCAGACGTTCCCACCCCCTCACCACAAAAAGACCCTTTTTAGTTCTTTCCTCAAGGGATTCCACATTTTAAAGGCTTTTAACTACCTAACAAACTACATTTATTGAATAATAATTTATTTCTTTGAGTTTTATTTATCAAAGACATCCAACTGCCAATTAGTGCTTCTGATCAGTCAAGATAACCACAGTTGCCACACTGGGTTGATATGACTCCAGCCCAAAGCAAATAAACTTAATGTTTTATTTAGTCTGGGAATGTCATTGAGGTAAACGTATGGTTTCCTCTGGGCTTTTTGATATCTCGAAAATAGCTTGCAGACCCCCCTTGCTGCCTTCATGGAGTGCAGGATGGGTGGAAAGCAGGACCACAGACGGAAATGCAGAGGACACACAGCTGTTAGGAGGGCGGGAGGGACAGGGGATGGGGATGGTGACTGGGGCTACACCAGGACACTGGAGAGTAGAGACTAAGTGGCTAGAGCCACTGTGAAGACTGGGGGTCCCAGGGTTGGGGGGTCCAGATCCTGGTGAACAAGCAAGAAGCTACTAGCCAAAGGCACATTCATGGTGTACCCTTAATGTGGGCAAAAACCTGGACACAGCGCCTTCCCTGTGTACCCTGGCTGCATTGTACCCACCCTTCCCCCAGCACCCAGAAGAGGCCCAGGGAGGACAGGGCAAAGGGGAGTGAGGCGGGCTCCTTCGCTGGGATGCTTTCCCCAGACCTCTCTGATGCATTTTTCAATCACGAGCTACTATGAGGTGGATGCGTTGCCATGGCCACCTTCAGTGCCAAGAGGATTCTGCGGTCAGCTTGCTCCTCACCTCGAAGGAGAGACCTCTGCCCAGGGAGCTCATCCTTGCTTAGCAGAACCTGGGCCACTGTTCATATGGCAAGGATGAGGCACTAGAGCCAGATTCAGGCTCATCAAGCGGTTCCGTCTCAGATGATGGAGAGCCATGCGCTCCCTAAATAGAGGGTTTCCTGGCGCATTGGAAATGGGACTCAACATCCTGTAATCCACTTTCCACCTGACTTTACAGAAGAGATGTTACTCGAAGTAAGAGAGGGGGCTCCTCCACAGGAGAAAAGTACTCAGGTCATGCCCTTTGCAGCCCCAGTCAGCCTCCATGGGCTGGGTCCTGAGTCCCTCCTGGACCCCCAGGTACCCTCAGAGCCCCAGATTCCTGCTTAGCAATGGCCTCGAAGTAAAACACACGATCCTACTTCGTGCCTCTCCTCCCTCATTAGCCTGGACAACATTTTCCCAAAAGATACAATCTGTGCCTGGCAGAAGCCCACTTGCAAAAATAAATTCTTCCCTGAACATTTTTTCCAGGCGCAGTTTAGAAATAAATCTGGGTGATGCCTTTTTCCCATTTCCAATGCCAAACATGCTGAACCCCGAGGCCTTGTTCTGTGGTGTAAATGTCACGATAAGGAAGGAATCAGGATCTTCTCAGAAGAACCCACCTCTGCCTCTAGCAGGGAGGCTGAGCAGTCCCCGCAGCTGTACCCAACGCAAACCGCTGCTGCTCAGATGTGGGGACACAGGTGGATGGAGCTCACAGCCTGGGTCCCAGGACAGCACAGCCACATCCATCCCTCTCACCCTGCCAGGCTCTCCCGCAGCAGGGAGCCTTCCTCTGGTTTCTGGGTGTACTGACGACTGCAGCAGCTACAATCTCCTTGATACCCATTCATTCATTCATTCCTTCATTCATTCATTCCCTCACTAAATATTTATGCTGAGCGCCTGTTATGTGTCAGGCACCGTGCTAAGAGCTGGAAATACAGCAGTGAGCAAGTGCCCATGGGGCCTGGTATGTATGGGGCACTCTACTCACAGCACAATGACCAAGTGCATGAGCTGGAAGGCAGGAGGAAGGGAGGAAAGGAAGCGTCTATGCAGTTGGCACCCTCTGCTTTTGTGTGTACCATCTCATTGAATCTTCCCAACCGCACTCCGTGATTAGAAGGTGTCCCCATCCCCATTTTCACAGAAAAAACAGCCAAGTTCCAAAAGAAAGGGCAGGGATGGATTGATACAGCTTGTCTAATTTCAGAGCTCTGAACTCTCTCATCCATGCACACTACAACGGCACTCACAAGCTCACAAATGCACAGGGACACATACTCACCCCCTCACACACCTGGACTGTGCATCCCTGCTCCGGGGCTACCCAGTGACTGAGTCATGCGCTAACATTCTACTTTTCTTTCTTTTTCCTTTTTCTTTTAGAAAGAGTCTTGCTCTGTCACCCACTCTGGAGTGCAGTGGCACGATCTTGGCTCACTGCAACCTCTGCCTCCTGGGGTCAAGAGATTCTCCTGTCTCAGCCTCCTGAGCAGCTGGGATTACAGGCATGCACCACCTTGCCTGGCTAATTTTTGTATTTTTTTAAATAGAGATAGGGTTTCCTCATGTTGGTCAGGCTGGTCTCAAACTCCTGACCTCAGGTGATCCACCTGCCTTGGCCTCCCAAAGTGTTGAGATTACAGGCGTGAGCCACCACGCCTGGCCACCATTCTACTTTTTTCCATCATAACCATGTTCTGAGCACCCACTTTGGCTCCTGTATGCTCCTGTCTGGGCCCAGGAACCCAGAGCAACAGGGGAGACTGAGTCCCTGCCCTTTAGGCATGTGCTGTCTAGTAAGGAAGCCACTGGCTGTGGCTGCTGAGTGTGTGAAATGTGATTAAATCTACATTGAAGGCCGGGCGCGGTGGCTCAAGCCTGTAATCCCAGCACTTTGGGAGGCTGAGACGGGTGGATCACAAGGTCAGGAGATCGAGACCATCCTGGCTAACACGGTGAAACCCCGTCTCTACTAAAAAATACAAAAACCTAGCCGAGCGAGGTGGCGGGCGCTGGAGGCGGGGCACAGGAGGTCGGGGCGGAACCCTCCTCTGGTGGAATCATGTCAGCACTCAAACACTTTTGGAGTTGGGAGAATTTCAAAGCTCAGATTTTTTTTTTTTTCTTTTTTTTTTCTGAGACAGAGTCTCGCTCTGTTGCCCAGGCTGGAGTGCAGTGGCCAGATCTCAGCTCACTGCAAGCTCCGCCTCCCGGGTTCACGCCATTCACCTGCCTCAGCCTCCTGAGTAGCTGGGACTACAGGAGCCCGCCACCTCGCCTGGCTAGTTTTTTTGTATTTTTTTAGTAGAGACGGGGTTTCACCGTGTTAGCCAGGATGGTCTTGATCTCCTGACCTCGTGATCCACCCGTCTCGGCCTCCCAAAGTGCTGGGATTACAGGCTTGAGCCACCGCGCCCGGCCCAAAACTCAGATTTTTAAATTAGGGATATGCAACCTGTGTGAATCACACATTGAAACTATATATCTTTTGGATATATGTGGTTAAAGAAAAAGTATATAAAGGATCATTTTCCATGCTTCTTTTAAAAAAATGTGGTGGCGGCTGGACACGATGGCTCACGCCTGTAATCCCAGCACTTTGGGAGGCTGAGGCGGGCGGATCACGAGGTCAGGAGATCAAGACCATCCTGGCTAACACGTGACACCCAGTCTCTACTAAAAATACAAAAAATTAGCTGGGCGAGGTGGTGGGCGCTGTAGTCCCATCTACTGGGGAGGCCGAGGTAGGAGAATGGCGTGAACCCAGGAGGCGGAGCTTGCAGTGAGCAGAGATCGTGCCACTGCATTCCAGCCTGGGATATAGAGCAAGACTCCATCTCAAAAAAAAAAAAAAAAAAAAAAAATGTGGTGGCTACTTACCTGTTTGAGCTTGCAGGAGCATATTTTAAAAACGTGGCTACTAAAACATGTAAAGCCACATATGTGGCTCACATGTGTGCTCACATGATATTGCTGAGGGACAGTGTGGCTGGAGATGGAAAGACAAACCGTAAGCTAGCGCACGCATGCGGAACAAGGGTGCCTGCAAGTAGGGGAACAGGCCAGGGAGGAAGCAGTGCAGGGTCGGTGGATGCCAGCAGTCAGGATGGGTGGCCTCAGGGGTGGAGGGGGAGCCAGGAAAGGGAGGAGCCGGGAGTGAGCGCAGGATGAGTCATTTCTTACCCTGCGAGGGGCTGGGACCTGGGTCCTGGAGGAAGGAAGGAGATCCAGGGAGCTGTACAGGCGCGTGCCTTTTTTCCTTCCCCGACTGAGCAAGGGGTCCCGGCACTGCGGGGGCCCTCTGGAGGTCACCACCTCCATCCAGCCTCTCGGTTTCAGAGGGTCAGTGTCTGCCATGGTCCTGATCTAGGGTTGGCAAACGGTCCTCTGGCCCTGCCCTCACAGGTGCTCACTCCACAGGTGCATTAATCCAGTGCCTGGGATGGTCCAAGCCTGCTGTCAGCACTGCAGAGGTGGTGGTGACCAATCAAAGTGCCTGCTCCAGGGCAGCTCATAGCAAGCGTGGGGTGGCTGGAGACAGACAATAGGCAAAGGAACAACTACATGTGTCACGTGTGGTCGGTGAAAAGAAAAATCAAGAGGGAGGATGGATGGGTGGGCGCTGTGTTAGAGAGAAGGTGACATTTCAGGAGGGACCTGAATGAATTCAGGGATGGAGCCATGAGCACACCAAGAGGAAGAGCATCCCAGGGAGCTGGAACAGCAGGTGTGAGGTAAGAGCATGCGAAGGACAGCATCAGGTCCACCAGTGGGACAGACGGGAGGAGCGAGTAGCCAAAGGTGAGATCAGGGAGCCTCCGTGTCAGGGTGAGGCCCAGGCAGATGAGTCTCACGAGTATCCTCCATAAGCGGCAGTTACGGCTGTCACTATTATTAGGCTCTAGAAGGCCACACCTTCCCTAGAAGGATGACAACTGCCACCACCCTCAGAATCTTCCAAGTGGAGGGGTGGTGCCTCTGGCCTTAGGGCTTGGTGCATAAAAAATGGGACAGCCACACACTTTCTTTTGCTCAGCATATGCTAGCAGTTGATGAGACACTTGGACTGGGTGGCCTCTGGGGGTGGCAGGTGGGAGCTATCAGAGAGGCAGGAGGCCCAAGTGACCTCAAGACTCAGCAGTTTCCTGCACTTAGGGAGTCAGGGCCCCAGAACCTTGTGACATTCCGCTCTACCGTCCTCCTCCCTCTGCTCTCCAGCCCTGCTTTGTCATGCCCCTCCTCCACTCAAGAAACCACAATGGCTCACTATTACCTGTAATTCTTCAGCCAACCTTTGCCACAGGGACCATCCGTGCCCCTCAGGTGTCTCTGTTTAGTGGTTATTTGCCCCCAAATCTCAGCTCAGACTGCTGGAGAAAATGACATGTTTCTGTTCTTTGCCAAGAGGGAAAGACCTGCTTTGGTAAATACTTTTTTCCCCAAGGAAATGAGTGTCTACTTTTCTCTGAACCACAAAGCCAGTGCTACCTGCACTTGGTCTTCACTGTGAGAGCACCTCACAGTCCCATGGGGTGTGGCTTGCCTGCCAGTCTCTCAAGACAGCTGCACTCATGCAACTGGCCTGGAGGCAAGAGCCTGCCCCAGAAGGACAACTGTCTAGTCCTGCACAGGCTTCTTCCAATGCGGCAGAGTGTATTGAAAGAATGCCGGCCTCCTACTTGAACTGCACTCACGCAGCCGTTTATGGAGGGGCTACCACGTGCCTGCCACTGTGCTGTGGGCTGACCTCCTGAGAGAGGCCCCCGCGGGAGGGGACTGATTCCAAATATGCTTTTTTTTTGAGACAGGGTTGCACTCCTGTCTCCGAGGCTGGAGTGCAGTGGCACAATCTCAGTTTACTGCAACCCCCATCTCCTGGATTTAAGCGATTCTCCTGCCTCAGCCTCCCGAGTAGCTGGGACTACAGGCGTGCACTACCACACCCAGCTAATTTTTGTATTTTTAGTAGTGACGAGGTTTCACTGTGATGGACAGGCTGGTCTCGAACTCCTGACCTCAAGTGATCTGCCCACCTTGGCCTCCCAAAGTATTGATGTTACAGGTGAGAGCCACCGCACCTGGCCCCAAATACGCTTCTGTTAAAGAATGGGTATTACTACTTTTCAAATGGTTATGTGACGAGACAGAAAACTCTTCTTTTGAATCCAATAACCATAGCCCTCCAAGCTTATGAAAAACTTCCCTTATTCAATTGCATCTTATAATGCCTGTTCTGTTTTCCTAAGAAGGTCCAGGGTCTGGACCCTTCTGTGGATTCCTTATCAGGAAGATGGGTGTTATTATATAGCAATTTGCCAGTGAGGCTCAGGAGGACTGTGACTTTCTTGAGACCACATGGCCACGTGATCTGGAACCAGGTGGAACCTCCATGCCTGAATCTAAAGGTTCTCCACTCTGGCTGCATGAGAACCACGAGCAGCCTTCCAAGCACCACCTGCAGAGAGTCAGGCCACTGGTGGGGCTCCCAGGTGATTGTAATGTCCCAGGAGCTGGGAACCACTGCTCGGAAGCCAGATCGCAAGCCTTCTCTGGCCTGGGGGCAGAGGAGCCTCCTGGCTCTGCTGGTTACTTGCTGTGTGACTTGAGGCAAATTCCAGTGCATCTCTGGTCTTCAGTTTCTTCATTTGCAAGAAGAGAGATCCCGTTCAAGATCTGTTTCTATGAGGAATTCGTGAGTCACTCGGCATCGAGAAGATGCTTGGGAAGGCCTCCTGGAGAAGCAGCATGAACATGGGCTTGGATCGTGGCCCTTCCCATATTGGGCTACAGGGAAGGAGGGCAAGACCCTGCACCGGAAACCTTGTCACCGGTCGCTGTCCTCTGCACTCCACAGTCCTAGAGGTACTCTTGCTGGGACGGAAGTCCCAACCTCCTCTGAGGGTGAATGGGTGGGGCCCACGTCCACACCTCTCTTAACAGCCCTCATAGGCAAAGGGGGCTGCAAACGCCTGAGGCTGCTAGGTCTTCAGGGCCAGCCTTGGGCTTCTGTGGCTCAGGAGCAGGGAGAGGGCCCCCCAGCCCTGCGGGCTCAGCTCTGGAGGGGCTGAAAGACAGGAGCCCTGAGCTGGCAGGGCCTGGAAGATGGTGTCCTCTCCATAATGCAATTCCCAGAGCCTTTCTTTGTCTTCATTTCCTGATCATGAAAAATATGTTACAGAACAAATAGAACTAGGTTTATAGTTCCCAAATTATGAAGGTGATTTCACGTTTTTTGGTGTGTGGTGGAGATCGTTTTTCTTCTGGGACATTTTGGGCCTCGCTGCAACATGAAGGTGGGATGTTGGGGGCACGGGAGGACTTGGCCCTCCCTAGGCTGTGCTGATTACTATAGTGGAGGGACTCAGAGAGTTCCAGGCTGGGGCAGGAGGAGGGTGATTGTGGCTCTGAGAATAAAACAGCAGGTTGGCCAAGCCATGGAGAAAAACTGAAGTCCTCGCCTGCCAGGAGAGAAGCCATGGTAGGCACCTGCTGAGTGTGGTCTGCGGGGCCGCCCTCCACAGTTCCCGTGAGCCTTGTGTGGGCAGGCGTCCCCTGAC